TGATATGCCTCTTTGTCAGGCATCTGAATTATTTGTAGCCGCCTAACAGGTTGCTAGTTTTTCTCTCGCCAAATTGCCGCAGTGCGCCAAAGTGATCCTGATGAGATGCATGTTCAGGCATTTGAAGAGGAAAGCAATTTTAGTCAGGCAAAGGAAGTTGTAGAAATAATCCAGCTTTTGCATCCTTTGGTGAATGACCAGCACGACCTCTGTGCCTTGGCAATGGAAGGTACCCTAAAGAGACTAACAAGTCTGAAAGTGCTTGTGGGAAGAAGAAGCTCTGGGACAAGATATACCTCTCCCACCCATGTGCAAAAAGGCTCCATACGACTGCATACAACTCCATACAACTGCACTTGCCGAAAGTATCTTTAAGAACTGTCAGTGTTTGGCTTCTTGCCTATTTAGCAAGCATCTCTTCAAGGGGGGAGGGACCGTTATATTTCTGTACAGAGGGAGAGGGAGAGGAGGAGGAAGATCCCGTGGAAGAAAAACGTAAGCCCGAATCGTCACCTTTTCCAAATTCGCTGCAGCGATTAATTTGCCTTTATCAACTTAAAAATAGATGATCTAGTTCGTACTTTGTTTCCGAGACTGCCTGCAGATGCAGCGCAACAGTGCCCTTAGAGACTAATCACTCTGTAACATCTAAAAGCATAGATCTCGAGAACAGCGAATTTTCTGGAAAATAGTTTTCCACAAAGAAGCAGCCGACTTATTTATAATTCTTTTATACTGGCTTCCTTATTTCAAAAAATAAGAGAAACTAAGCATCTAGAAAAATTCGACTTTCAATGGATCACACTGGTGATCACAGGCAGGGGATCTTTCCAAAGGCCTAAGCTATAAATAGACGGGATTTAGATCAATTTTAGATTGTATTTTAATCGAGCCAATAGGGATATTCGATCATGCTGACGTCATTGTTTACATTTTTGCTCATTTGAATACGGCTTAGCGTACAGAAGGAACATGTTGGATATGAATTGACTTCAGGCAGCTAAAGAGCTAGGAAAACTTATAAAATGGTAAAATTTGT